TCATGACGTTGTAATTCTCGTTCATAAATCATTACAATGGATCTTTATATATATATATATATAAATATATGTATATATATATATTTATAATATATATATATATATATATATATATATATATAATATATTATATATATATATATATTATATATATATTATATATTATATATTAATATATATATATATTTATATATATTTATATATATATATATATATATTATATATATATATATTATATATAATTATATATTTATATATATATATATATATAATATATATATATATATATATATATATATTATATATATATATATATATATAATATATATATATATGTCGTGCCGAATAGGCAGAACTTGCGATCTTGGCTTAAATAGCAACGCTCATCTTGCCATATAGGACAAGTGAAAATTTGTATAGCAATAATTTCGCCAAAATCTTTTCCTGGACCTAACGAAAAAAATAATTTTTCACTGTGCTTGTTTTTATTAAATTATTGTAAACAAATCTAAAATATATTTATTTGGTTTAGGCTAAAATAAATTTCTCTTGTTTAATAAGGTTAGATAAGTTTCTAAGTTCCTTTTGGTGCAAAATTATAAATTTTTACACCAACATTAATGAAAAAAATATATCTTTAAACGTATAAGAGAAAATTTTAGAGAGGACTTAATTTTAAATGAGTTCTTGCTAATTGACCATTTTTTACATATTCGGCACGACATATATATATATATATATATATATATATATTATATATATATATATATATATATATATAATATATATTATTTATTATATAAATATATATATATATAATATAAGTTCAACAGGTCGACCGTCTCCACCAAGGAAGGGTGACCCAAAAAAGAAGCACTTTCACCATCATTCACATAATCATTGTCTTTGCAGAGAAGCCCAGATATGATAGTTTAGATGTCACTCGAAACAGCCACTATCCCCCCCCCCACACACACACAGGATGATACTGAAAGAGAGGGTGGAAGAGCGAACACACCCTCCTCCAGAATCACACACAGAAGGACTCCAACCTCGACAACCCCGATGCAACTGAACAATCTAAACCAAAACCCACACATTGTTCCCTCTGTCCTCACCCCCACATCACAAACCCTGCAGCAACCCCATATGGGCACTCTGCCCTCACCCTCCTCATCACAAACTCCACCCCCACTGCAACCCCCCATAGGCCCCGCCAGGGCTTCATCTCCCCCAATCCCAGTATTCTCCCAGGACCACAGTTTTAGGAAAGAAGTTGAAGTTTTGGTACACAAACGCAGATTGAATAACGAATAAATATGAGGAGTGGCATGAAAAAATTAATGAGAAGTCCCCAGACATCATTGCAGTCACAGAAACAAAACTCACTGAGACAATAACAGACACAATCTTCCCACCAGGATATCAGAGCCTAAGGAAAGGTACAAGGAGCAGAGGGGTAGGAAGGGTTGCACTGCTCATTAAAAACCGATGGGGATTTGAGGAAATGGAAGGCATGGACGAGATTGGAGAAAGGGATTACATAGTAGGTACATTTCAGTCTGGGGAACATAAGGTAGTCATTGCAGTGACGTATAACCCACCACAGAACTGCAGGAGGATAAGAGAGGAATATGAAGAGAGCAACAGAGCAATGGTGGACACACTAGCTGAGGTGGCAAGAAGAGCTCACTTGAGCACAGCAAAGTTACTGGTTATGGGCGATTTCAACCGCAGAGAGATCGACTGGGAAAACCTGGAGCCTCATGGGGGTCCCAAAATATGGAGAGCCAAGATGATGGATGTGGTACTGGAAAACCTCATGCATCAACATGTTAGCGACACTCCCAGAGAAAGAGGGGAGGATGATCCAGCAAGACTTGATCTCGTGTTCACCCTGAGCAGTTCAGACATTGAGGACATCACATATAAGAGGCCCCTAGGAGCTAGTGATCACGTGGTTCTGAGCTTTGAATACATAGTAGAGTTACAAGTAGAGAGGGTAACAGGAGTTGAATGGGAAAAGCCAAACTATAAAAGGGGGGACTACACACATATGAGGAACTTCCTGCAGGAGGTTCAGTGGGACAGAGAATTGGTAGGAAAGTCAGTAAACGATATGATGAACTACGCAACAACAAAATGCAAGGAGGCAGATGAAAGGTTTGTTCCCAAGGGCAACAGAAATAATGGGAAGACCAAAACGAGCCCTTGGTTTACCCTAAGGTGTAGGGAGGCAAAAACTAAGTGCACTAGAGAATGGGAAAAGTACAAAAGGCAAAGAACCCAGGAAAATAAGGAGATTAGTCGAAGAGCCAGAAACGAGTATGCACAGATAAGGAGGGAGGCCCAGCGACAGTACGAAAACAACATCCATCGAAAGTCAAGTCTGACCCGAAACTGCTGTCTAGACACATTAGCAGGAAGACAATAGTCAAAGACCAGGTGATCAAGCTCATGAAAGAAGGTGGGGAACTCACATGCAACTATCAAGAGGAATGTGAGGAGCTCAACACGAGATTTAAGGAACTACTTACAGTGAGACAGGAAGGACTCTGGGAAGACACCACAGAGGTGGACATTGACAAGGAACATACCAACAAGTGTCGGATGACATACACACAACTGAGGAGGTGAAGAAGCTGCTAAGTGACCTTGATACCTCAAAGGCGATGGGACCAGACAACATCTCCCCGTGGGTCCTTAGAGAAGGAGCAGAGATGCTGTGTGTGCCACTAACCACAATCTTCAAAATATTCCTTGAAACTGGGCGAGTGCTTGAGGTATGGAAGACGGCAAATGTAGTCCCCATTTTTAAGAAAGGAGATAGAAACAAGGTACAAAACTATTGACCAGTGTTACTGAGGTGTATAGTATTCAAAGTCATGGAGAAGATTATCAGGAGGAGAGTGGTAGAGCACCTGGAACGGAACAAGATTATAAACGGCAACCAGCACAGTTTCATGGAAGGCAAATCCTGTGTCACAAACCTTCTGGAGTTTTATGACACGGTAACAGTTCCCCACAGGAGATTAGTGCAGAAGCTAGAGGATCAGACACGCATAATAGGGAGGGCACTGCAATGGATCAGAGAATACCTGACAGGGAAGCAACAACAAGTCATGGTACGTGATGAGGTATCACAGTGGGCACCTGTGATGAGCAGGGTCCTACAGGGTTCAGTCCTAGGACCATTGCTGTTCTTGGTATACGTGAATAACATGACAGTAGGGATAGACTCAGAAGTCTCCCTGTTTGCAGGCTATGTGAAGTTAATAAGAAGAATCAGATCAGATGAGGATCAGGAAGGACTACAAAGTGACCAGGACATGCTGGATACGTGGTCCAGCAACTGGCTACTTGAATTTAACCCCGCCAAATGCAAAGTCATGAAGATCGGGGAAAGGCAAAGAAGACTGCAGACAGAGTATAAGGAAGGTGGCCAAAGACTGCAAACCTCACTCAAGGAGAAAGATTATGGGGTGAGTATAATACCGAGCACGTCTCCAGAAGTACGCATCAACCAGATAACTGCTGCAGCATATGGGCGCCTGGCAAACCTGAGAATAGCATTCCGATACCTCAGTAAGGAATCGTTCAAGACACTGTACACCGTGTACGTCAGGCCCATACTGGAGTTTGCAGCACCAGTTTGGAACCCACACCTGGTCAGGCACGTCAAGAAGTTAGAGAAAGTGCAAAGGTTTGCAACAAGGCTAGTTCCAGAGCTAAGGAAAATGTCCTACGAAGGAAGGTTAGGGGAAATCGGCCTGACGATACTGGAGGACAGGAGGGTTAGGGGAGACATGATAACGTCATACAAAATACTGCGAGGAATAGATAAGGTGTATAGAGACAGGATGTTCCAGAGATGGGACACAGAAACAAAGGGTCACAATTGGAATTTGAAGACTCAGATGAGTCAAAGGGATGTTAGGAAGTATTTCTTCAGTCACAGAGTTGTCAGGAAGTGGAATAATCTGGCAAGTGAAGTAGTGGAGGCAGGAACCATACATAGCTTTAAGACGAGATATGATATAGCTCATGGAGCAGGGAGAGAGAGGACCTAGTAGCGATCAGTGAAGCGGCGGGTACAGGAGCTGAGTATCGACCCCTGCAACCACAAATAGGTAAGTTTACCTGGAGTTTACCTGGAGAGAGTTCCGGGGGTCAACGCCCCCGCGGCCCGGTCTGTGACCAGGCCTCCTGGTGGATCAGAGCCTGATCAACCAGGCTGTTGCTGCTGGCTGCACGCAAACCAAGTACGAGCCACAGCCCGGCTGATCCGGAACTGACTTTAGGTGCTTGTCCAGTGCCAGCTTGAAGACTGCCAGGGGTCTGTTGGTAATCCCCCTTATGTGTGCTGGGAGGCAGTTGAACAGTCTCGGGCCCCTGACACTTATTGTATGGTCTCTTAATGTGCTAGTGACACCCCTGCTTTTCATTGGGGGGATGATGCATTGTCTGCCAAGTCTTTTGCTTTCGTAGTGAGTGATTTTCGTGTGCAAGTTCGGTACTAGTCCCTCTAGGATTTTCCAGGTGTATATAATCATGTATCTCTCCCTCCTGCGTTCCAGGGAATACAGGTTTAGGAACCTCAAGCGCTCCCAATAATTGAGGTGTTTTATCTCCGTTGTGCGTGCCGTGAAAGTTAGATAGGAGTGAATGGAGACAAATGGTATTTGGGACCTGATGAGCTGTTGGAATGTGAGCAGAGTAATATTTAGTGAAGGGATTCAGGGAAACTGGTTATTTTATAATACCAGACTAAGTACAAATAGGTGAGTACACACACACACACACACACAGTACGTTCTTTGGTTACGATGTCACTGTGTTTTAATATTTGTGAATAGTATGTATGACCGGTCTCATAATGGGGTGCACCAATTAGTGAGAGCCTTCCAAGAATATCCCATTCCGAGAAAATTTGAAAAGTACTGCTTGAATTCTAACGTTACGGTACTGGAGGACTGAGATGTGACTGGTTAATTACTGACCTGTGAAGGTTGCCACCGTCGCCCCTGTGTAGGTGAGAAGAGTGAGGAGCGGGGAAGAGATGAAGACAGCCACCATGACCAGGGTGGAGCACCATACGCTCTCCACTCCCCACACCTGACCAGCTGACAGCAGCGTCCCCAGCCACACCTGCTGCAACACACGTGACTTCATCTAAAACTAAGATGCATTGCACATATGAACTCAAGTGACAAGTTTGTCAAAAAACTTCTTGAAAATACTCGAATGAATTCATAATATCTTTATTTACTACAAATACATGTACAAGGTATACAGGCCTAGCTGACATCAATAACATACTACTATATAGAAAGCCACTTGGTATATTGAGCATTTCGGGCATATTAGATCAGTTTTGTCCCAGGATGCGACCTACACCAGTTGACTAACACCCAGGTACCCATTTTACATTGATGGGTGAACAGGGACAGCAGGTGTCTTATGGAAACACGTCCCTAATGTTTTCCAGCCGTACCGGAGAATCGATCTCCGGATCTCAGTGTGTGAGCTGAGTGCGCTTGTGATCGAGCTAGGGGACACCCATAGGAGGAAACGGATAACTACAGCGAAATATACTTATATATTAGAATTTAAATACGAATTAAAGTGCGCGATCTTGAATTTTAAAGTCTGTAAAAAATAAGTTAAAGACACTTGTGACTGTAGTTACACTTCCCTCAGGTATATAGCTTCTTGGAACATCGTCTACTGTTAGAAATTTAGGTTACATTATTAAAATTCCCAGCAGTTTTAACAAAAACTATTTTAAGCTAATTTTAGTCCTGTTATCATCTGTTCCCAAAAGCTTGCTAACTCCCTTTTACATAGACATGAATTGGATCTCTTGTCCTCCACATTTCTACCACCTTGAAATCTACCCGTTCTAGTTTATTATTATTATTATTATTATTATTATTATTATTATTATTATTATTATTATTATTATTCTTTCCTTCAACACACTGGCCGCATCCCACCGAGGCAGGGTGGCCCAAAAGGAAAAACGAAAGTTTCTCCTTTTACATTTAGTAATATATACAGGAAAAGGAGCTACTAGGCCCTTGCTGCCGGCATTTTAGTCGCCTCTTACAACACGCATGGCTTACGGAGGAAGAATTCTGTTCCACTTCCTGATGGAGATAAGATTCAATAAACAAGAACAAGAACTAGAAAGAAAATAAAAGAAAACCCAGATGGGTGTGTGTATATATGCTTGAACATGTATGTGTAGTGACCTAAGTGTAAGTAGAAGTAGCAAGACACCTGAAATATTGCATATTTATGAGACAGACAAAAGACCATAGCAATCCTACCATCATGTAAAACAATTACAGGTTTTCGTTTTACACTCACTTGGCAGGACGGTAGTACCTCCCTGGGTGGTTGCTGTCTACCAACCTACTACCTACATTATTATTATTATTATTTTATTACTATTAAAAGCCGCAGTCTTAAAATATTTTTTGTGGGGGAAAAATTTTTGAAAATGTTCTTTTAAGTATAAACTTCACCCATATATACGAATACCTTTATCTTCTTTCTTAATAAGTACAATTTTTGTAATCGGGGGTAGTGAAGGAATAAAAAAGTTTTTAAAGAAAGGAATCACAGTGTAGGAAGGTTAAAAACAGTGAGTGAAGGAAAACACAATGTATGAAAGGGAATACACGTGTGTAAGGTTACACAGTGCAGTGAAGGGGTACACAAAGAGTGAAGGAATAAACGTGTAAAGAAGGAATCACAGTGAGTGAAGGATACACAAAAAGTGAAGGAAAAAACATGTAGTAATAACCAGTGTATAAAGGAATACACAGTGTAGTGAAGGTATCAAATTAGTGAAAAGGGAAAAAACAGTGTAGTGAAGGAATAAAAAAGTGTAGTGAAGGAATACCAGGTAGTGAAGGAAAACACTGTGTGAAGGGAATAAAAAAATGTATGAAGGAATAAACAGTGTATGAAGGAATAAACATGTAGTGAAGGAAAACACAGAGTAGTGAAGGAAACAAGGTAGTGAAGGAAACAAAAAAGTAGTGAAGGAATAAAAAGTGTAGTGAAGGGAAAAAAAGGAGTGAAGGAATAAAAAGTGTAGTGAAGGAATAAAAAGTGTAATGAAGGGAAAAAAACAGTGAAGTGAAGGTAAAACAGTATAGGGAAAGGAATAAAAGGTAGTAAAGGATACACAAGTAGGAAGAATAAACAGTGTAGTGAAAATAAAAAAGTGTATGAAAGGAATAAAAAGTGTAATGAAAGGGAAACACAGAGTGTGAAGGAAAAAAATGTGTGAAAGGAATCACATGTTGAAGGTAACACAATGTGTGAAGGAATAAAAAAATGTAGTGAAGGGGAAAAAACAGTAATGTGAAGGAAAAACATTTTAGTAAGGAAAAAAAAGTGAGTGAAGGAAAAAAAACAGTGTAGTGAAGGAATACTCTGTGTGAAGGAATATCAGTGTAGTGAAGCAAAAAATACTAAATGAAAGAAGAATACAGTTTTTGGGAAGGAAAATAGTGCTGTGAAGGAATAAAAAGTGAAATGAAGGAAAAACACGAAGTGAAGAATAAAAAGTGTAGGAGGGAATAAATAGTGTAGGAAGGAAAAAAAAAGTGAGTGAAGGAAAAAAACGCGTGTGAAAGAATAAACAGTGTAGTGCGGAATTAACAGTGAGTGAAAGAATAAACAGTGTGTGAAAGATAAAAAAATGTAGTGAAGGAATTAACAGTGTAGTGAAAGAATAAACAGTGTAGTGAAAGAATAAACAGTGTAGTGAAGGAATAAACAGTGTAGTGAAAGAATAAACAGTGTAGTGAAGGAATAAACAGTGTAGTGAAGGAATAAACAGTGTAGTGAAAGAATAAACAGTGTAGTTAAGGGGAAAAAAAAGGGGTATGAAGGAAAATAAAAAAGTGTAGTGAAGAAAAAAAACAGTGTATGAGGGAAAAAACAGTGTAGTGAAGGAATAAACATGTATGAAGGAAAAAAAACAGGGTTTTGGGAAGGAAAAAAAATTAAAAAAAGAATAAACAGAGTAGGAAGAAAAAAAAAATGAAAGAAAGAAAAAACAGTGTGTGAAGGGAAAAAACAGGTAGTGAAAAAGAATAAAAACATGAGTGAAGGGAAAAAACTGTAGTAAGGAAACGTGTTTTTAAGGAATAGATATGTAGTGAAAAATCCGTGCAGGAAGGAATACAGTGCGTGAAGGAATCAGTCGTGAAGGAATAAACAATAAAATGAAAGAAAAACAGTGGGTGAAAGATCAGTTTTGAAGAAATAAACAGTGTATGAAAGAATAAACTATGTAGTCAAAAGGGAAAAAACAGGTATTGAAGGAAAAAATAGGCAAAGGGAAAGAATAAAACATTAATGAAGAAGAATACCAGTTTAGTGAAAAAATACTCAGTTTTATTGAAAAAAAACTCAGTGTAGCAAGGAATACACAGTGTAGTGAAGGAATACAGGTGAGTGAAGGAATACTCGTGTGTGAAAGGAATAACAAGGGAAGAAAGAATAAACAGTGTAGTGAAGGAAAACAGTGTGGAAGGAAAAACAGTGTAGTGAAAAGGGAAACGTGAGTGAAGAATAAACAGTGTAGTGAAGGAATAAAAGTGAGTGAAAAGGGAAAACAGTGTGGAAGGAAAAAACGTGTAGTGAAGGAATAAACTTTTATGAAGGAATAGTGTAGGAAGGGGTTTAAACATGTATGAAGGGTACAGTGTAGTGAAGGGGAAAACGTGTAGTGAAGGGAAAAAGAGGGGGTAGTGAAGGAAAAAATTTTAGTGAAGGAAAAACTTTTTTAGTTAAGGGAAAACAGGTTGAAGGAATAAAAAGTTAGTGAACGAAAAACGTGTAGTGAAGGAATAAACTGTAGTGAAGGAATACAGTGTAGTGAAGGAATAAACAGTGAAGTAAAAGAATAAGAAGTGTAGTGAAAGAATAAATTTAAGTGAAGGAATACACAGTGTAGGAAAGGAAAACTCAGTTTTGAAGGGAAAACTCTGTATGAAGGAAAACACAGTGTGAAAAAGGGAAAGCAGAGTTAGTGAAAAGGGAAAACAAGTGTAGAGAAGGAGTACTTAGTTTGAAGGTTACCGTGTGTAAGGATACATATGCGAAAAGAATATTCATGTTGTGAAGGAAAAAACCGGTGTAATGAAAAATATAGTTAAAAGAAGAAAAAAAAACATGAAAAGAAAGAAAAAACAGTTTTGTGAAAAAAAAACAGTGTAGTGAAGGAATTTCAGTGTTGAAGAATAAACAGTGTTTTTTAAGGAAAAAACATGTTCTGATGAAATTGTTTGAAGGGAAAGGGAAAAAACAGTGTTGTGAAGGAATAACAGTGTTGTGAAAGAATGAAAAGTGTAGTGAAGGAATAAACAGTGTAGTGAAAGAATAAACATGTAGTAGGGAAAAAAACAGGTAGTGAAAGACAAACAGTGAGTGAGGGAATCTCAGTTTATAAAGGGGAAAACTAAGTGTCGTGAAGGAAAACAAGTGCAGGAAAAGGAAAAAAACAGGTAGGAAGGAATAAAAAAGGTAGTGAAGGAATAAAAAAGTGTAGGAAGGAATAAACAGTTGTGAAGGGAAAAAACGGTAGTGAAGGGAATAAACAGTGAGTGAAGGAATAAAAAGGATTAAGGAATAGACGTGTAGTGAAGGAAAAACAGTGAATGAAGGAAATAACAGTAAATGAAAGAATAAAACAGTGTAGTGAAGGAAAAATACATGAAGTGAAAGAATAAAAAGGAAGGAAGGAAAATCAGGGAAATGAAAAAAAATAACAGTGTAGTGAAGGGAAAAAAACAAATAAGAAATAAAAAACAGTGTAGTAAAGGAAAAAACATGTAGTGAAGGAATAAAAAGTGTATGAAGGAATAAAAAAATGAAATGAAGGATAAACAGTGAGGAAGAATAAACAGTGTGTGAGGGGAAAAAAACAGTGGGTGAAGGAAAACAGTTATTAAGGAATAAAAAGTGAGTGAAGGGAAAACAGTGTTAATGAAAGAATAAACTATGGAGTCAAGGAAAAAAACAGTGTAGTGAAAGGAAAAAATAGTTTCAGTGAAAGAAAAACGGTGTAATGAAATGAAGGAATACCAGTTTAGGGGAAAAAATATCAGTGTATGAAGGATACAGAT